CTGAGGTCCTGAGGAAGAACACGGTTGGTGTGCTGGAGGAAGAGAAAGAAGCCCACTGTGGCTGGATTGCAGTGAATGGGGGGGAGAAATAAGCAGGATTAAGGGAGTGAAGAGTATTTTAAGCCATAGAAGGGAATCTGGACTTCGAGAGCAGTGAATTTTAAGACCACATGACCTGATTAATATATTTAAAAGATTTCACCTGCTGTTCCATGGAGACTAGATGGTAGAGGGGCAAGTGTGAAATATGAAGATCAAAGATTTAGTATTTTTGTGTGCATATACTGCCAGACCTCAATTTTGAGCCATATCTCTGAAAGGATTCCAGAGAGAAAATAGTTACATAATGAGAGAGCAGCCTCCACTTATCCCCCATCCTCTGGACTTTTCCCAGGCATGGGTACATATGTCAAGCCGGAAGGTAGCCAGAAATAGGAAACTGAACATAAAAACTAATACAGCGTGGGTGAACAAGGGTGAGTTCCTAGGCATGAAAGAACTAAGTTCTCTTTTAATACAGCTCTACAAAGTGAATGGACCCAACTAAGTGGACTGAAGGTCTTCAGAAAGTCTCTGCTTATCCTCAGCTGCTGTTGAAGGAGCTATCCAGGGTGCTGGAATGTCTCACCACCCCCTCCTAACCTCCCCCCCGCCCCCACCAGTGCTTTCTAAGGCCTGATAGATAAAGCTTCTCAGTTATCCTTGTTGGACCCAAGACCCCACTGTCTTGAACCATAACCAGACTCCACCCTGGTATCACCCTCATGTCCTTAGGATCTTACCTCACCTTTAATCCAACACCTGCCTGGACCATGTCTGTTCGATCTAATGGTCACCATCTTCTATATACACATTAGCGAGATAACATGAAGTGGTAGCATAGCTAATGGTGTACAGATAGACTTGGGATTCCACTGTACCTCATGACCATTTGAAATGATAGTGCCAGGGAAGAAGTGAGTTCAGGGGAGTCCTTTTTCCTCAAAACAATACTCAAAAGTAGTACCTGGCTGTTGAACCAATCATCACATCTGCTTATATAACTCATCCAAAGTCTCTGCTTACAATACATCTTAAGAAACACTGATTCTCCACCTGCAATGATTAACAAGTTCCATATAATATTCCATTTACCCCTTCCTTAAATAGTGTCTTTGACTTTTCTTTAAAAAAAAAACAAAACAGTATGTTTAACTGAAGGCCATTACTCAATTTCTTGAGTAATCAAGTTTATACACTAAGTAGTGGATGAAAATTTGTATGCTTTCAAATCAAACACTTTACCTCTTCAACGAAAACACTTAGAGCACTAGAGCTAGTGCACTAGAGCACTAGAGCAATCTGATGGATACTCTTCTAGCTCTTTTCTTAAGTAACAAGAAAAACAGGGACAGCTGCCGCATCTTCAGAAGTTTCTACCTGCATGCCAGACCCTTCACTGTCCTTAAATAGGTTTGAGGGGCAGTGTGACTTATAAAGAGCCAAAGAAGTTCAGTAAAACTTTTTAGTTGCAAGTTATCAAGACTATCATGAGAAAATGGGACAAGAAATCACTAAACGTGCTCTTGAATTCTCTCTTATATGAACAAACACATCAAATACATAGAAATGCTACTCAAGTAAAAAGGAAATAAACCACTTGGTTTCTACATAACCTAAGAATATATACATGGCTCAAGAACGTCTTTGTTTAATCTAAGGGTCAATTTTATTAATAACTATTCACAGAACTCCCCAAACTCCATTTCACCTCCTGGTCTTTGCTCATATGCTCATTCCTGTAAGTGAACACCCATCCCATCTTTCTTCATTTTGCTCACTTGCCTCATCCTCCAGACTTAATTTTAAATCAAGAAACATCCTCAGAGCCTGACTCACACCCACCAGCACTGAGACAAGTTTGGACTCTTGTAACACCCTGCACTCACCCTCATCTTGGCGCTTTTCACACTGTAATTTGGTTGCCAATTTATTTGTCCAACACTCCCATTACTTTTTAAGGTCTATGAGAATAAGGACCATGTCTTTCCTATAATTGTGTCTCCAGGGCCTTGTACAGTGTGGTGCTTAGTAAAGGTAATCAACAAATAAATGAATAAATAAATTTAATCATTTTAAGGTCCTCCCTATCTCTAAAAGTTAATATCTCTGCTTCAAATCTATGCTTCTTCCAGAATACTGAAGTGGATTCAATATTCATCTCACTTAATAGACCTTATTTAAGTGATTTCATACCATGAAGTTTTTGAAGCCAGGTAGAAATTGTACTTTATACAATTTATACATAGTACAATTTTATATAGTATAATTTATATTACAATGAAATCCTACTATTTAGTCTGTGTATACAAGATGGAAATGAGACATGTATTTTAACCATCAAAAAGCAAGCAGAATTTTTTTTTTAATATTTGAACTTAAGATAAAGCCATACCAATAAAACATTTATTTTTATTAGCTCACATTTCCTTCACTACTTTTTTACAAGTGTATCTTCCTCTTTTCTGTGTTTTTTGTTCTGATGCCTTAATGCTTAGAGACAATACTAAGTTTGATGTGAAGTTATATAGTTCACTCTTCAAAGCGGAACAAAAGGATGAAAATAATTTGTGAGAGGGGCGCCTGGGTGGCGCAGTCCGTGAAGCGTCCGACTTCAGCCAGGTCACGATCTCGCGGTCCGTGAGTTCGAGCCCCGCGTCAGGCTCTGGGCTGATGGCTCAGAGCCTGGAGCCTGTTTCCGATTCTGTGTCTCCCTCTCTCTCTGCCCCTCCCCCGTTCATGTTCTGTCTCTCTCTGTCCCAAAAATAAATAAACGTTGAAAAAAAAATTTTTTTTTAAAAAGAAAATAATTTGTGAGAACGTTGCTATTATTCCTTGAAGAAAGGTCATTTCTGTCTTTAATCTTAATAATTTGATTTTTATAACTAAAACATTTCTTTTCTTATATTCATCTATTATTTTCCTTATCTTTATCATATAATAGCACTTTACCTATACTGACTTACTTTAATCATATCATAAAACAAGTACCTTTGCCTCCCCAAATAAATTTCCCAAATAAACTCCAAATCTTGTAGGATTATGAATTATGTTTTACACATATTTGATTTCCCTCAGAACAACTAGCACAGGTACAAAGTAAGTTTTTAGTAAACATGAATAGTCAAAACTTCAGATTTAGAAACAATCTATTCCCTTTCCATACATTAAATCAAGGGTCAGCAAATTATGGCTCACAGGTCATTTCTGGTCAGTTCTGGTCTGTTTTTGCATACAAAGTTTTATTGGTGCACACCTATTTATTTATATATTGTCTATGGCCCCCTATAGGCCACAATGTCAGAGTTGAGTAGCTGCAACAAAGTCTATATGCAAAGCCTAAAATAGTTACTCTCTGACCTTTTACAAAAAAAAAAAAAAAAAAATTACTGAACGCTGCTCTAAATCGTTTTTACAGATGAGAGAACTCAGTTTCAGATAAGTGACTTGTCCAAATTTGTAGTTGAACCTGTTCACTAAACCTACCCCTGTCAGATGATTTGTCAACACCAAATTAAATGTTTGATGAAAATAATGCTAGTTTAGAATTTACAAAAGCAAATAGACATTAATATCACAATTGAAGATGGCTGTCGAAAGACCTTTATGGGCTTATGCTAACCAAAACCAAAACAGAAATAACATTTTTCTAAATTAAGATAGTATCGCTGGGGCGCCAGGGTGGCTAGGTCAGTTGGGCATCCTACTTTAGCTCGGGTCACAATTTTGCGGTCCGTGAGTTCGAGCCCCGCATTGGGCTGTGCTGACAGCACGGAGCCTGGAGCCTGCTTCTGATCCTCTCTCTCTTTCTCTCTCTCTCTCTCTCTCTCTCTCAAAAATAAACATTAAAATTTTTAAGAATATAGTATCAGGGGGCGCCTGGGTGGCGCAGTCGGTTAAGCGTCCGACTTCAGCCAGGTCACGATCTCGCACTCCGTGAAGTTCGAGCCCCGCGTCGGGCTCTGGGCTGATGGCTCAGAGCCTGGAGCCTGTTTCCGATTCTGTGTCTCCCTCTCTCTCTGCCCCTCCCCCGTTCATGCTCTGTCTCTCTCTGTCCCAAAAATAAACAAACGTTGAAAAAAAATTAAAAAAAAAATAAATAAATAAATAAAAAATAAAATGGACCAAGACAAAGTTAAGTCAGCTAACCTAAACTCCTATCAGATTGCTATTCCTGTCAGACAAAGGAAACTTAGCATAGATATTTTCAGTAGTAAAAATGAATGGTATTCCCCCCAGGGCATACTCTAAAATACAATAATATAGACACTCTTGGAGTAGAAATAAATTGTAGCTGGCAGTATAAAGGAGAAGCTGTACTTGATAAACCATATACAAGAAAAGGATCAAGCAGACAGGTGAATGAAATGTAACAAGTAAATACTTAATAACTGCTTATACAGATAATATGCCCCCCTATTACAAGTCATAGCTATTGTGTCTTCTCATTTTAGCAAAAGGTTATTTCATCCACTGAGACAACAAAGAGATGGAAGAAAAGCGAGAGAAGAACAAGTTAAATTAGAATTGGTCTGGAGCAAAGATCAGAACAGAATACATGTCTGGACACAGCCAAGGTGGAAAGGTAATCATGTACAGACAATTAACATTACACAGTATCCTATAAGCTTAGTTGCCTACAACACATGAATATCCACCTGCCCTTCCCTCATCAGGGCACAAACATATCAATACCCAGCTACTGGAGTCCTCTTCCCGTAGGGTTGCTCAAGACTGCTTGGATCTTGCCAAATGCAGGAAGCGTAATTACTCAGCCACAACTGTCCTGGTCTTTGTCAACTCTTTCTCCTAAGAACTTTTTTTTCACTATCTTTCTACCAGAGATACTAGTGGACCTACTAGGTATTAGTGTTCTTCGACAAATGGCTGCTCTTATGCCTTCCTTCTTCAGTGGCTTCCCCCCTTAGGATTAAAAATGGAATAGGTCGCTTTTAACACACTATTACCTTGAATACTTCTCTTGAAGAAGGCCTTACAGCCCTCACAGGACCATACTCCATAATGGTAGCCTGAGGCATAGTCATTGCATACTGCACAGTAGCGGGTCTCCTTGGCAGACTCCATGGCCATGCTTCCCTTATCACCAGTACTGGCCAATCTCTCTCTGCCACTCTGGCGCCGATTGTCTGAATTTGGCCTGGAAAAAAAAAAAAGGAGAAAATAAAAAACAGTGAATCTATTAACATTAGAAAAGCAAAACATGTACCCTCTTCCAAAGAATAAGAGGCTTGGGGGATGCAGAAGATCCACTTTATTCTGACATTTTGAAATAATGAATCATAATGTAAGCTAATCTTTCATTACCTCTTGCCAGCTGTTGCAGCAAAAGGTGTTTGCCTATTATATTAACCTTGACGGGAAATTGTTTATTGCAAACTTGCTTAAAAAATGGACTGCCTACACCAGAATATATTATCTAGAAAATGACAAAATGACAAAATGAAATTAAGTGGTTTCTAATAGATTTATTCATTTTTTTCAGGGATTCAAAATTAATGCAGAACCATTAGAGACCAATGCTCATTCTAATTCTAGACACACTAAGAAGCCTTAGGAAATAGAGACAAAGTATAAAGCAGCTGGGGCATTTGAAACTCGAATGAACTGACGAACAACTCTGAACATGTATAGAAAGATAGCAATTCACATTTTCATGTCATTGTTACCATGTAACCCTTGATATCAATTTTTACAACTTGACTCTAATTTAAGGATGCCATTCGATATTCAATACTCCTTTTTAAGAATGTGTAAAATAAGGGGCGCCTGGGTGGCTCAGTAGGTTTAACATCTGACTTCGGCTCAGGTCATGATCTCATGCTTCATGGGTTTGAGCCCCACATCCGGCTCTATGCTGAAAGCTCAGAGCCCGGAGCCTGCTTCAGATTCTGTGTCTCCCTCTCTCTCTGCCCTTCCCCCACTCACGCTCTGTCTGTCCCTCAACAATAAATAAAACATTTTTTAGAAAAAAGAATATGTAGAATGAGAAGAGCAGAAGAACACAATTACTCCAACCTATAAAAATTTCATAGAGGAAACATACCTCAGAAAGAAATGTGAGAATGAACAGTCAGTTCTGGAAGAACCAAAGAAACGGAGAAGTAAAAAGTTTTTAAAAAGTAGAAAGCTTTCAGAAGGTAGATGGATTAATAGTGCCAAATGGGGCAGAGAAATCCAATAAAGCAAGGACTGATGAAATGAAGTGAGAGTTGACAAAGAGGAACCTCAGCAAGGAGTTTGAGCTGAAGAGTACAGCACAAGCCAAAAGCCAGTGGTAGAAACGTGAATGGAGTATGAGGAAATCAAAATGAGAGAAGGCCATTCCTTTGAGACTCTGGATGAGAGTGAGCAGAGACAGAGATGGGGTGGTCACTGAAGAATATAGGGATTAGGAGGATTTTTATTGGCCAACAGGGCGGAGAAGTAGGGGGAATCCATATTTCCCGCGTCTCTCAAACAAAGACGTGTAGAAGCCAAAGGACTTTGAACCCCAGAGCCTAGGAGGAAAAGAGACTTGAATCCACTAGGAAGAAAATGGGGAAGCTGGAAAAAAGATAGGTGGGTAACTGTGAACTAGGGGAGATAAAAAAAAAAGGCCCCGTGGGCACGGAGGGGAGGGATCCCCTTCTGCGGAGAGACAAAGGGAAGAGAAAGAGCGGGTAGGGAAGTGCAGGACCGTAGCTGGACAGGAGAAAGACCTCGGATTGAGACTGAGAGGCATCTGATTCTAACTGCGGGGCTTTCTCTGGACTGGGGCGGGCTCCCTATTCGCACACCTGGGGAGGAGGGGCGCCAACCCTGGGTACCGTGGTAGGTCAGGGCTCAGTCCTCAGCTGGAGAAAGTGGTTCCCTCCCTGGAGGGCTGCGCGATAGCACAGAACCTGCCTGTGTCCGCCACCCTGCGCGCAAGTGGCTGGGCGAGAGCTCAGTCTGCAGGAGGAAAAAGTGGCCGTTTCCCTGGAGTG